CCGCAACATAAGAAAGACATTGAGTTTTTTCTCCAAAAGTATTTCGAAAAAATGCTGTGTAGAGGGGTGTAGAGGGTCTTTAACCCTTAACCGGCCCGGTAATAGATATGTATCATAAATGGTCCGGCGTAGTCTAGACTACGCTCTAAAAGTTAAAACACAATAAAAAACTAAAATAACAAATTTTTATTTCATTGTATATTATATTATATATTATTAAACTAATCTAGACAAAATGGGTTCAATTAATATAAACTTTCAGAAAATATAGTACAAAGTAAAATACCATACATATAAATTTGGAAAAAAAAACAATATAGGTTTTTACTTTAAGTCAAAAATAAAAACCTATAATAATTATTATGTAAAAAATAAGTTATAAAACTGGAGTTAAAGGAGAAATTTTGTAGTTACAGCATAAGGCAAATTTCATTGATTTCCTGAACATGTTTTACACAATGGATTCGTACATTCTAGGCATTAAAAATAATTAACTAGGATATAACATTGTCTTTGACTAGTATAAGAACTCTAGGATAAAAAATATATCTCCGTAGGCGTCTTCTGGTTGTACAGGAATTGCAAGTATTCTACCAATTGTAAAGCGTATTTCTCGTGGAATATTTGACATTGTCAAACGCATTTGTCTGGCAGATTGTCATATTGTCACTGTCACAGTCCTCATCATATTATTTTTATAGAGTTTCCTCATAACTAGAGTCTCCTAAACGCACTTTTCGAAGACCCGGTCATATTTTACAAAATTTGTCATACATAAAATTTTACACAAACGGTCCGGCGTCGTATGTGAGACTACGGCTTCAGTAAAGTGTTCCAGAACTTCTAAAAAACTAATCCAGTTTGGGTATAAATATGGCTATCAGTTGTTGACCTAGAGGGGCAGGATTAGCTAGAACGCCAATCGTGTTGGTGGTCCCAGTAACTACTGAGACTGAGTTAATTATTTGGCGTAGTCTGTCAAACGACTCCGGACCAGTTAAGGGTTAAGACTTAAATATCTCTATCTGGATCTTCAGTGGATTTTTCTAACATTACAAGTCTAAGCAGCGTCGTGCTGGTTAGTAGCGTTTGTTAAGGCCTGATTCTCTGGGCTGTACAGGTGGGTCAAATTCGACGCTTTTAAATGGAAACGCCTCTTTTCTATAGGAGATAGACGCAAAACTAATATCGGTGCCTGGAGCTTAATTTTCATCAAAAACATGATAGTGAAACCGCACATCATTATCTGTTACCGTTTCGAGTTACGGGTGTTTTTCAAACCCCATACACAATAAAGATTTGGGTAATTTATAATAAACGGAAATAAATATTTTTGTGCTCTTCCTATGTATGTAAATATATATATAGTCCTTCCATGTATTTAAACAGATCAATATGTTGACTTTCGTTAACTTATACCACTAATTTCAACTTAAAAATGTTTGCTAGATTTTACTCAATGTTTATTCAAAATATTTTTTATCAATTTTAATGGTTCTTTATTTTTTATCTCGAAAACTGTTAGAGATAGGTATAAATTTGGTTTATAAATAGATTTTTTTTTTTTTTTATGAAAAATAATATCAAAAATGTAATACATTCCCGGTGTCTCTTTGTAAAATAACGAAGATGGTGTATCAAGCCATAATAAAAGCGGCAACACTCGTACCATTGAAAAATGACAGATGAAGTAGGTGCCATTATGCAAAATCAAAATTTTGAAAGAAAAGGTGATCTACCTCGATTCTTCATAAACGATCGCACCGCGGAATTACCTCTGTATTTATCTCTAAAATCTAGAAATTTTGGTATATAATATTTCGTTAGAAGATTTGGCGGTATTTTGAAATGACAATATCAAAATGTAAACTTGTCCAAACTGTACAGAGCAATTGCGGATCGATTCCTCATTAATCAAATTATGCATTTATAATCGGACATAAACAAATACGTGTCGCCAAATGGCAGTAGAAACTGTTTATTTGAGCGTAACACGTTCTGCTATATCGGCCGATAGCCTTTATTGGGTCAATTTGTGGTGCGACCTCAAGTACATTTGTTCCATTACGGTTTGTCATTGTAATGTTATGAATATTTGATCATGAAATATATATACCCTATAGAATTTTCATTTATGCCTATTGGAGTAATGATCTATACGAATTGTCCGATTTTGTATTTAAAAAAAAAAATGATAGCCGTGACATACAAAATTTATATCTGTTGTTTATTTTAAGGTATCTCTGCAAAGAAAACTAATTTATGTGGAATAGCTATTTATTTTGAAGTAGTAAAAGTTAGTGGAACCCTAAATGTTTTAGTTTCAAACATTTTTTTCTCAAAAAAAAAAAAAAAAAAAAATAGAAATTTAAAAATATTTTTTTTTTTTGTAGACACTCATTGTAAAGAAACCAACCTGGTTAGTGGCTGTTTTCTAAAATACAGGGCGAATCTGAAGTTATTGCATTTTTGACTCCTCTAGAATAGATTTTCGCTGATGAAATTGTTCTTAAAATAATGTTTTTTTTTTTTTTTTTTTTTTTTTTTTTTATTTTATTATAATATATTCTATACCATTTTCAAATCCAAGTGGAAATTCATTATTTAAATCGCGCCAGGCGGGCTACTCAAACAAATTCACATTATTCCGCGCAACGTAGTTCTGAGCCTCAAATTTTTGCTATTGGTCATTGCAAACCGTTTTGCGATTTCACCACTCAATATACAAGAAAGGTGGTATTCATCATCCCAAATGTTTTGTGAGAATTATTAAAGAAAACACTGATTCTATCCCAACAGAAGAGAGGGTTAAAATCCAGCTCTATATGTAAAATTGTCGCGCTTATTCACAGTCGTAGACAACATGATTGATACAGCGATAACGACCTAAAAGCTGCACAAGCGGTAGATGCGCGGAAGCCATAACGCGATGGAAGCGCAAAATGACGACCAAGCCAAAACTGGCATAAAATGTTAATAATACCACAGATTATAGATTATAATTCGGTTTTTTCAGACATATCTTTGTGGTCCTCGGAATCAGGCACCCGTAGTTACGCAATTAGCTTCCGAGGCCATAGCACGCCCACCCCATGGTCTCTGTAAATTGCCAGCGCCCGACCGGCAGAGTTATTACAGAGATATCGCAAAACACCGAAATAGTGCTGCCGCGCATTGCTGCACCTTATCAGCGTATTCTAGTTGCGAGTTACTATATGCGAGTGAGTGAATGCACGCCTGCTAATAATTGCCACGTCTGATGTAATGACGATTATACCGCCAAGCAATATATTTTAAATAATCGTTTTAAAATTGTTTAGCCAGCGTGGTGGTATTTACAATCAGCTGGCTTTATGAGATCTTTATTTTAGGGTTATGTTTGTTCACATTGAAGCCATTAGGTAATTTGATATTTGGTATTAATTGCCTACCGAATAAATATGGCTCCAAAATATGGATTCTCACCTTCTAGTTATTACAGCGAACCTATAAAGAGGATCAAGTCTTTGTCTGGCGTAGACGTTGAATTTTAATGCGAAACTGTTTATTGGTCCAATTTTGAACATCATGGTATGTTGGTTGGGGAATTTTTCGCAAGACTTAAGTGATTCTGTAAAGATTTAAAGTTTGGGGGGCGGGAAAGTAAAAGTGTTTTCAACATTTGCGCAATATTCAGATTTCGGCAGTTCTGCGGGTTTAAGCAGAATGGTAATGCATCTGCCATCATCGGCTTTGAGATTTACGCCGGAGAAAAGCCAAAAGTAACCGGAAAGATTTCCGGTGGGTACGGGTTCTCGGCGTTGCCATGGTTTCATACATATGTAAGTGACAATTTTCTGCAAACTCCAAGTTATCGAACCGGTACAGACAATCTGCACCCTAAATTCCTTTCTACATCTCTTTATCCTCATTTCCTTTGAATTGAACGGCTAAGCAACCCCTATTTGCTTACGAATTTAAACATTTCCACGTCCCAGCAAAATGCACCTCATTGCCTTAGTAAATAATGGCAAGTCATGTAAATTAATTTCCGTCCAATCACACAACCGTAATCATATCTGTAATCATTAAAACAAATTTGAACTTGATTTGTTTCGTTCCAGAACCTTGCAGCATGCGCAACGGAAATAAATGTTACTATATTTCCTTCTGCGTATGCGTATTACAGTTCTAGGATTGTTCAGAATCTGTAATAAGAGAAACCCGAAAAAAATATGTATTAAAAAAATATAAAATGTGTTTTTTTTTGTTTTATATTAAAAAGTCAAACAGTTTATCCTTGTGTACGATTTTTCTTAAATCTTCAGTGAAGGTAAAAATAAAATGTCCCTAAAAATTCGCGACTGTATGGAATAGGTCCAAATTTTGCGAATATTTTTTGGCAAATCGCTTTCCGCAATTCGTAATTCGCGTCAACAAGAAACAAGCTTTAGGTTTAGCGTGGCATAATGTGACTGCAGCCCTTAAGAGAATTCATTGTCAGTTTGCTTTTCGTCGTCCCACTGGCAGGCGTTAAACAATAAAGCACTCCAGCATGCACTTTAGCCCTAGCTCTTAAACTAGGTAAAATGTTACCACCTCTAAAGTTTTAAATCTAAAAGTAGTTTAAGTTTCTAGCTAGCGGACGAATTTTAAATAGCTCTTTCTCCGATCCGATAAACCACAACGAAGAGAGCTACCACCCACCAATGCAAAATGGAAATAACATCTGGCCTTATTAACGTCCACATGCATCGCTATTCCTATTTTAGTTGATATCTCTATTACGTTGCTTATTATTTTACGTGGAGTTTATTTCGCGCATTGAAATTCTGAATTTGGTTTGCATTTGCCATGTTTCAAATTTTCGTACCTACTTTGAATTAGGGAGGAAGATTTTTATCTGTATACATATAGCATACCAAATCCGTGATAATAATTCTATTTTAAAACTAGGTTTATTTATGTTAAAATATAAATTCACACCGCATCTTTTACCCTAATTTGAAACACGTAATTACTATCACTCTCAGCCACGATTCCACCATCGTTCCCTCAGAGATATGCCCTGTGTAGCTGAGCCCATTGTTGCCCATTGCGGCTGCAACAAAAGCCATCCTGGTAATTCCCAAGTTACTATCCATCTAATAGATCTCTTCTTTTAATTCCTCATGGGTAACATGCTAGAATTTTGTGGTACATCTGTTGTCCGCTCTTTTCTTGACAGATGTCCCGCCCATTGCCATTTAAGGGATTTCCACTCTGTGGATGGTATCTATTATCGTATTGTCGTATCCACGGTATTCTTTTACGATCCCTTGGTCATTCCCATATTTCATTCCATTCAGTACAAAGGACCTGCAGTTTCCTTTATGATGTCCGTCGGCGTCCAGATATCGCATGTATAGAAGGCCAAGGACTTGTAGTACACATTGGTCGGATGTTTTTTGTTTAGATAGAGGACATTCCAGATTTGAATATGATTGAGTTTCCTCCATAAATACTCCATGCTAACTTAATTTTCCTGTTGATTTCTTCTAGTAGATATTCCGACGTGTGTATTCGTTGCCCCAAATATATTTTTTCTTCTAAAAAAAAAAAAAAAAAAAAAAAAAAAAAAAAATATTTTAAAAACAAAGAAAAAAAAAAAAATTTGAAAATATAAAATAAATACAATAAATGCAATCGGCTAAGTCGTCTAAGCAAAACCCAAACTTAAATCCAACTGAATCTGTTTGGCAAAAATCAAACTATGCGAATCATCCCTTAAGTAATGCCCTAGTCACACGTAATCTTTACGGCTAACAATGAGCTAGAAAATATTCAAAAGTGCTCGAAAGCCAAGCTTAAAACACTTTAAATCTACTCTATTTGATGGTCTCGCACTAACAAAAATTAATTGAGGTCCCCAAGCCCAACGCAACCGAACCCGACCCAGCCATTCTCGTTCTCGCGACGTTACCCGAAACTACCTAGGCCAGAGTCGGATTAGGATGTTTTCATTTAAATTATTTCGAGAAAGTTGCGGTTCGTATAAACTTCTTCCCGGATTAGACGGCGATAAAATGCAAATGATAATACATTTAGTGGCAACTTGGCGTAGTTTATGCTAGGATATTTGCGAAAAAGTTTCCTTACAAGAAGGCTTGGGACTTCAAACCTATTCTTAGATTTTTAGCAAATATCATACCTAACATCCCTCCCTTCTTTGACACCTTGAAAGTCCCATGGGTATCACACAATCAAAGGACGGAGACCAACCTGTCAGCCGACCACCCATTCCAACTCTTGAATTGCCATCCTCCCATCAGAACAAGAAACCATATTCCAAACATCCAAACACAGCCATTGAAAGAACACCCACCCATCCATCCATGAACCGCCGACATCCTGTCAAATGACATCAAACTCACGCCACCTTATATAGACTCCTTTGCCCAGACATCGGTCCTCTACACACCTTGGCTCTGTCAAAACCCAGGGCACCTGTGCCATGCCATGACCGCCGGACACAAACTGGCTCAGAAAATCAGCCCTCCCTAAACTATATATATCCTCTCAACTGAACATCAAAATATACCACTAATTTATCACACTGTAACACCCCTTACTTACACCGATGTGCTGCCTCACAACTGCCAGCACGTGCTGCATTTATCAAACCCAGTGCAAAAAGCAAAGCTGCCTTGCATTGTATGAATTAGCATTCCATTTTGCCAAAAATAACTGAAAGGTCCAAACCCCCAACCGGTAAAACTGAACATTTACAATCTAGATGTTCCTGCCTCAACATAAAAAGTGTTTCCAAGGATGTCTGCATGTTACATTGCCTTTGCACAGGTGAATTAGTACTTATCGTCAGTAACACCAAAGGTCCCAACCCCAACCGTAAAACTGAAACATCATGGGCCTGGGACAGCCACCTAATATGTGAGCCAGACAGCCTGTAAGCAGCAGAAGAGCCTCTATTCTTATTTTCTCCTAGAAACTAATTAATAAAATATAAAAATTATTTTGATGTTGGCTAAGGAGGGGTTTTAATCTTTTTAGGGGAGGACACCTATACAGGGTGTCCCAGAATATCCCGTGGATTACAGAACTACTACGTTTTCCTGGGAACCAAAATAAGCCTTGTTTTTTGTGTTTTTAACATTAGAGTTCACAAACATCAAGAAAAAGTGCTAGGAAGGGTGTAAAACTGACTTCAACCTCTACATAATTTTAGTATAAGTATTTTCCAACTCCATCGACGCGACGACAGTTTTTCTTTTCATAAAATGGTCGCTCTAGTGTCATTACATTTTTTCTCTCGTAAAAAACCTATCGTATAGTCTTTGAAAATAAAATAGAGAATTTATGAATTTTATTTTTATTGAAAAAAGTAAGAATGAATTTCACAGTATCGGCAACACCGGTCGGATGTTTGTTTATCTTCCCGTTGTTTATTATCTGAAATGTGCAGTTTTTGGACGAAATAAAGTGCGGAAATGCCTTTATATTACTACATCGGTCCTAATATTACGACAGTAGTGAATGTGGTAAAATTTGTGTTGGGATTTTATTACAAAAATAAACTAATAGAAACGTGTGAATTCCATCTATCCGGGGAGCGTTGTTGCCACCTATTCTTCGGCAGTTTTCCTAATGAAAATAGTTGAACATGACTGATTTGCGCCTGTATAAAATGCAAAAAGAAACAAAACAAAAGGACAAATTCCACGTCTTTGGATGTGATTCGTGCAGTACATATTACTGTGGAGACTGTTCAGAGCTAACAACATCAGAAGTAAGATGCATGCCAATTGTGGAAAGGAAATTAAAGTTTTTCTGTACGAGTTGCAGAGGAAGGATTTAATTGGGTGTCCTAAAACCATAATTCGACACAAAGAAACACAATAAAATGATAAAGAGATAATATAATTACGATGCTTAAAGATAAAAATAAAACGTTAGGAGCAACAACCTATGCAGTTGCCAGGCCAGTTAGTACCTCTGACCTGTCTAATGCAAATACAGAAGAATATTCCTCCCATCCTCATTAGGCCCAAAAATCCGCAGGATGCTGAGATCACAAAAGCAGATGTGCAATTAAAGGTGAACCCTGGTAAACTTAACGTGTCTATTAACTCCATAAAGACTGCAAAAAACGGTGTTGTAGTTATTAAATGTAACAGCGAAAAGGAATGTGAGAAACTGAAAATATACAGGACAAAGAAAAGGACCACAAATATACAGTTCAACTCCCGCAAATGAGGAAACCGAGATTTAAAATCATCATTTCAGGTTTAAATATGACTAAAGAGGAAGTTACCAACTGTTTAAAGCGTCAAAAATAATTTATTGAGGATTGTGATTACTTGAAAATAACATATATCAAGTCAATAAAAAACAACAAAAACCATTGCTTTTGAGAGTGCTCTGGGGACCTCTTTGGTAGACTTATGGAACACAAAAAGGTATTTATATCATGGGAACGTTGTCCAGTCTATGAAGATAATAAAATTCCAAGATGTAAAAGTTGTTTCGCGTACGATCATAAAGAATCAGACTGTAAAAATAGACCATCCTGTACTTATTGTAATTTAGATCATAAACTTGAGAATTGCCCTAAAGTATCAAAAAGAATGCTGTAACTGCTCAATGAGCAAATATATAAAAGTCGACTGTGTCTACAATCTCTAGAACACGAAGCATTCTCCCTTGAATTGCCCTATCATTTTTTACAAAGATTCAAAAACACAATTGACTACTGTTCTAAGTAGTAACTTGCAAAAAGTTATGTTTTTATTAAATTAATAAAATATATTAAATTATTATATTTTTATTGTTTTTTTTTTTTTTTTTTTTTTTTTTTTTTTTTTTTTTAAGTACAAAAGGCTGCAGAAATGTTGCTGATTTTGAGGAGTTCAATACTGGACAAATTAGAAATGGTAGGGTTCTTGGGATCTTACATTTTAATATCTGTAGCGCTCGTAAACACTTTGACGAAGTTTTGATATTCTTACAGACTTATAATTCCAGCATTGATATTTTGCTGCTGGGAGAGACTAGAACAATTCTTCTGGAACCAATCACATTCCTGGCTTCAATACTTACTTTCTTTTAATAGTAAATTAAACCAAAACGATGGGCTCCTTATTTTTATAAACAATAAACTTAATTTGCTATAAACATACATTGCATACAACCATTATCTCAAGTTACTCGATCTGAAATTCAATTTAAAATAAATAACATATCATACAACATTATAACTGGTTACAGATCACCCTCCACATCTGAGCTGAGTTTTGTTACGGACATAGAAAAGTTCCTAGGAGAACTACAAAGTGAAGATTTTACCATTTTGATTGGTGATATGGAATATAAATATTTGGCACAATTTGCATGCCAAATAAATCATTATCTATCGGTTCTGATGTCTCTAGGCTTTAAATCCTTTATTAATACATTTACTAGAGTCACACAAGATACTAAATCCTGCATTGATCATATATTTGTCAACAAAATTTAAAAAATGAAAATTTAGAAATTTGCTCAGCAGTAATTAACGACAACACAACTGACCATTATCCTGTCTATTTGCAAATTAGTAACAAAACTCAAGAAAAAAAGACTCTTGAAACTATTATATTCCAAATTTGGATCATATTAAAATTTAAAATCTAATCAGCCAAAATGAGACTTGGCTCCAATGTAATGAGTGGAAATGATGGCTGGTGTGGAATTGCCTAGCAATAGTTCTTAAAGTGCATATATGATCAATGTACTCACAACAAAACTTATTAAAATAAAACGCATTTTAAAATTAAGCCTTGGATCACAAATTCTATTATAAATTCCCATTTTATTTCCTGACAAATTAAAAAAACAATTCAATAAATAATAGAAACAATATACAGTATCTACATATAGTATATTTAACAAAAAAAAAAAAAAAAAAAAAAAGAATTATAAATTTAGCAAAAGCCAAGTATTATTCTAGTTGTTATTAGTAATAAAATGATATGAAAAAATTTATAATTTAATAAATGAAGCAAATTAAATTCAAGTAACAAAAAAGCAAAACATAAATGATTCTGCATCCTGGATCCCAATAAAAACCCTTTCAAAATCT